GGTCTCCGCATCCTTCCACAGTTCCACTTATCAAAATTATTTTCCATAAGTTTAGATTTACTTTTTTTCTTACCGGGTTGGGATGAGGCGGGCTCGTCGTCGTCGATGGTGCTGTCACCCTCGTCCTCATTCATATCCGGTTGAAGTTCGTCTGCATCGTCATCCTCTAGCTCTTCTTCGTCAATGGTCGTCGGGATGTCTTGTTGTTGGAAAAAGCGGTTATTATGTTGGTCCAATTCTTGTTGTAGTTGCATGTCGGACATCGCATCCCCGTCTCTCTGTTGGTAATCCGTTTTAAAATCATCTCGGGTTTGAGAAGAAGACCCGATATATCGTTTACCTTTGCATGTACTAGGATTATTCCTTTGGATCTCATTCTTTCGGTTGTGTTGGACGATGCCCATATCAACCGAACTTCTACCACGATTCATCTTTAAAAAATGTAACAAATATTAAATTGGAACAAATATATTAATGAGTAAAAAAGTAATGCAACTTATTAAAACTATTTTAATTAATACTTCAATCTAACAAGTGTAGTTTAATGAAATAAAATTCTAACTAATATTTTTTATAAAAACAATTCGAGTGAAATGTGAAATACTTTAACTAAAATGTGAATTTAACTAAAATGCGATTATTATATTAATTATAGCAAATTTTCAAGTACTTTAATTTAGTGAAAACTACTTTAATAAAATGTGAAGTACTTTAAAAAATAGTTTGAACTACTTATTTTCTTCGAAATAAAAATTGAAATTAATGTACTATTTTAATAAAAAAAAATGTAACAATTAAGTAATCCACTAATAATGTTAAAAAATGTAACTAATAAGACAAATGTATGAATGTGTATACTAATTAATGGGAGTAATAGAATGTATTTACTAATATTAATTAAAGTGTAACTAATATATAATATATTGTGTATGTTGTATAGTAGACAATTATAAGTATGAGTATTAAATAACAAGTATGTAATAAGTAGATATTAAGTATATATATATATATAATATGAGTACTTGAGTAGTACACTTATATATATAATTAATATATTAATTATATGTAATATAAGTAATATATTAGTAAATAACAAGTATATAATAAGTAGATATTAAGTATATATAAGTAGATAATTCGAAGTATATTAGTAGATTACTATAAGATGAGTAATACACTTATATTTAATACTTTAATATATAAAGTATATATTAAGTAGATGTAATATGTATATATTAAGTAGAGATTAAGTAGATAATAAATATAAGTAATGTAATATAGGGATCTGTTCAGGTGAGAACGGTATCCCAGGAGAGAAATGAGAATAAGATCCATCCTTTGCTTTTAGTAATCGTGTGGCTTCAAATTTTATTGACTATCTACCGTCGTGAATGTTTTAATAGGAAAGATTGAAGACTCATTATGATTCAAGGACATTTCAGTAAAAGACAATATGATAAGTTGACACGCATGAACTTATTTAAAGAAAGATGATCGTGCAAGTCCTAACAAATAGGATGATTAATTAGAGCATCTCCAATGCTAAAACGTTAACGGTGCATACGTGGCATGGGAAATAACCAATTAAAAAACAATAAATACAATATCTCTCTCCTTCTTTCCACGGTCTTATGTGTTTATGGTAAGTTTTTGTCTGCAATGTCAATCACAATGTCTACATCTAGACATTGTGCTTGACATTGTGAAGAAAAACTTACCAAAATGATGTAAGATCCTTCAAATAAGGAGAGAGATATTGTATTGATTGTTTTTTAATTGGTTATTTTTCATGCCACGTATGCACCGTTAACCTTTTAGCATTGGAGATGCTCTTAATGGTAAAACAGTTTCACATGTGCATCAATTCCAAAATTTATCATAACGTTAGGAAGTATTAATTAATTAGACACCATAATTAGGATGATTTAATATATTTCATTAAAAGCTTTCGTTCTATATAATTTTTTCTTTTAAATTTAGTATCCCACTAGTATTTCTCACGTATAAATAATCTAAAAAAATACTACAAATTATATATACGTATTTGTCTAAAAAAATTATTTTGGTTCATGTTTAGTCTTTTTCTGGATTAAATATCGTATGAACGAATCAACTTAAATTTGACAATTTGCACCTAAATGGTGAATGAATGCACTTTGGTTCAAAAAGTTATGCAACACCAAAATATTAATAATGCACCAAAGTACATTTGATGTTTCTTCTATTTGGAGTACAAAAATGCTACCGCATCATACTTTTTATTGTGCACATTTTAGTTTCACTTAATACACATTTCTGTTTCATCTATTGCCTAATTCAGATTCATATAATGCCACTGTATTGTACCTTTTGTACTGCACATTTCATTGTCACTTAATGCACATTTAACTTCACATAATACAACCTAACGGTCCAATTCATTCTATTTGGATTTTGGAGTACAAAATGCCACTACATTGTACATTTCACTATGCACATTTCATTTTCACCTAATGCACATTTCAGTTTCATCTAATGCCTAATTCAGATTTGTATAATGTCACTGTATCGTACTCTTTGTAATGCACATTGTAGTTTCACATAATGCACATTTCAATGTCACTTTATGTACATTTAACTTCACATAATACAATCTAACGGTCCAATTTATTCTCACTTCTCTTTTAAGATCATTTTCTCATTAGTACATCTTATTTACCTAAAAGTGCACACCCTGATATAAGAGATCGTTTTATATTTACAGAAAAGTGCACAACGACTCATATCTAAACGCACAACATAACTATATTACTTTGATGCACGTACCATATATTTTTCATGCACTTTTCATTATTTTTATTTAAATGTTCTATATATACAATTGACACTGAAAGACACCATCGTAATCAAACAATTATCATGTTTTTGAAATAAAAGTGCATTTCGCCTCTAAAAATGTCAAGACAACTTTTTAGAAAGTGTGATATAATAGTGCACTTTTATTTTATTTGAAATGCACGTGATAAAAGTGTATTTATTATATAAGTGCCGACATAGAATTTCTCAAAGTATGATACGATAGTGCATTTTTTATATTTAAAATGCACATGATGGTTATTAATTTACACTCGTGTACTTTTATTTTCATGTTATTATAAATATATGAAAAAGCACAAATAATGAGAATAAAATGCAAATTATAAAAATTCAGACAAATAAAATAATAATGAACATTAATATAATGAAAGTATTATTTTTATATAGATTCATTTTGATAATAAATGGTGTTTACTATTCAAATTACTATTAGTGAAAAATAAATAAATAGTATTTCTACATAGTTAATGGAAGGAAAACGAAATATTAAAATTGAGATAAACTAAAATATATCAAATTAAAAGAAAAGCATGAACTCTACTCAAATGAAAACTATGCCCGTAGGAATATTTAAAACATGCTAGCTCATTTGGAATGTTATTGAAAAGGAAAGCAAATCAATGATGGAAATGAAAATGACGTAAAAATGAAGATGAAAGGTTATCAATGCAAGTATGGAAAGGAAATGTTTAATGACCAATATGGGCAAGGAGACCACACGTGATTATCAAGGGAAATGATACAATTTAATGGCTATAATTCTTTCTCATTTCTCTCCTAAGATTGTTTTCTTATTTGAACCAAAATCATGTAATATATGTATTTATAAGTAGATAATAAATATATAAGTAGATATAATAATTGTATAATTATTACGGAGTATATAGTAAAATAGAATGGAGAATAAGAGAATTTGAGAAGATGAAGATGGAGAAATGAAGAATTGGAGATGATTAAGAATAATAAAATATTAAAGAGTAGGAAGAGTTGGAGAAGAGGTGTAGAAAAATGTATAAAAATAGGAGTATTTATAAGTTTTTTATCCCCCCCCCCCCGCCCAAACTAGGGGTGGACTAGGGCCGGGCCAACCGGCCTGGAATCGGACCGGCCTGCTACTGTGCGGGACCGGCCCGGCCCGGCCTGGTTTTCCGGTTCAGGCCTAGGCCTGGGGGCTTGGGCGGTTCCGGGCTCGGTTACAGTTTTTGGCGAACCGGCCCGGCCGGGTCGGGCCCAGGTCCGGGCCAAAAACTATTTTTTTTTTTCCATTTTTTGGGCTTTATTGAGTTGGGCTCGATGTTTAGAACCGGTTTGGGGGGTTTGGGGGGTGGGGGGTGGGGGGGGGGGGGAGAAAAGAAAAGGAAAAAAAAAAAAAAAACTAACCGGGTGGCCCGGACCGGTTAGGCCCAGAACCGGACCCAGAACCAGTGACCAGTTGACCACCGGTTCGGGCTCGGGCCCAACAAAACAAACCCGGGGCCCGGCCAGGCCCAAGCCCGAACCGGTCCCAAACCGGCCCGAGGCTATCCCTACCCCAAACGCCCGGGAACCCCCAACCCCCACCCAACAGCTATATAGCCGTTTCGGACCGTTTGGCAATGGCTAATGGCCTGTTTGGCTGATTTTTTCTTTAAAAAAAAAACTAGCCGCTAGGCCCGAACCGGGCCCGGTCCCGGCCTGGCCGGGCCAGCTTTTGCGCAGACCGTACCCGCCCCGCTACTACCTCCGGTTCAAGTCAAAGCCCAGTACCGGGCCACAAGAACCGGGCCGGGCCGGGCCCGCACAATAGCGGGTCGGGCCAGTTCACGGGACAGGCAGCCCAACCCGTGTCCACCACTATATGAAAATGTTCTTTGTTAAAAAAATTCATAAAAGTGTAAAATATATAACTATCATAATATTACACTAATAAAAATCATGGTCGAAATTTTAAGATTTGACTACGTATTTTGGGACAGGCTAGTATATATCCTTCCATGATTTCAGTTTCATTCCTCTCATTCCCCAGTAAAATACCAAAAGATAAGACATCAATTGGGTATAGTACTATAGTAGTGAACTTCTAAGTAGAAATGAAAATAGATGCAATTCGAGTGAACATGGCAAAAGAAGCATTAAAGTGAACATAACATAGAAGACGCATTCACTGGAATTGCATGAATCTAATTCAAGTGAACATTACATAGAAGAAACATACCACGAAACCTCAGAATACCCTCTGTGTAAATAAAACATAATGTCTACCACCGAAAAGTTGTAATTCCCTAATATGTTAACAAAACAGTGTTGCTGCCTGCCAGTCATTGATTTTTAACAAAAATTTACTCTACCCAATATATAATTACCCAAAAAATACTACTGTCAGACTGCATTAGTACTCAAACATTACAATATCCAAAATATAAACAAAACATACTGCATGTTTGACTTCATGTACATCCTTTCACGGTTTCACATTCACTCCTTTCCTTTCCCAGTAACTACATTAGGACAACAGGGATATAACCTGTAGTTAGAAGACAGTCCATTATATAGCATAATTAATATCAATTACTTTAATGTCATGTAATTACCAGAAATGGCATATTAGGTGCCCGGCACAATCCGAAACAGTTTATGTTCTCCAGAACCTGTTACAACCAATATATGACCATTAAAATACCTTAAAAATATATTATACAAAAAAAACTATATATATTTACCTTTGTGCATATAGTAAGCCCACCCTACACTTCCGATTATGTAGAATAGGCAGGTCAAGGCACTGATGCACAAGAATCCAAGATATTCATCAACAAACCTCTCTTTTTGTTCAGGTTCACCAGGTTTTGTTTTCTCTACTCGAGGCAGAGTATCCAACATTCTCTTAAGTCGGCTATCCGCAGAAAGCCTAGACAAATCTGCTTCTCTAGTTGGGGGACACACATAAGGAGTATCAATTTGAATTTGCAACTCCAAACATCTGTCTCTCAATTTTTTTAATTCGGATCTTGTTTTTACCTTTTTCCATTTTAACCTTTCTAAGCTCCTATAACAACTATAGAATGTTAATCCTACCCCCACACAGAAAGTGAAGGCCATGAGAATAAGCAGACCAAAAAGACTGTCACGATTCTGAATCAGAAACCCCCCCACAAAAGCTACACTAGTCATTCCAACATAAAGGTTTATGTTGGAGACTAGTTGTCCTAAAATTTCTTCACACCTTTTATCCAATTCAATCTCTATTCTATTCAACTCGTCTCTTTTAGTTTCTAGTTCTTTGATTTCTTTGATGTGTTCATATCTCAAGAAACCTGCACAAGAAAAAGATGGGAGTAATTAACATAAACTTCTAAATCACTTCAGATTTCTGAAAGGCAGAAACTTCCCAACTAATATATTATTTATTATTATTATTATTTAATATCAAAAGAAAACTTGTAGACCAACTCCCTGCCTAAAAATGACTGCAGTTAGATTAAAGAAACAGAATAAATGCTCCTAAAAAATCTGGAGATTCGAAACAAGGTAGCTGTAATAGAAGCAAAAGAAACATTAGAGAACACATTTGATGTGATCATAAATGAAAGCTCAGCTGATATTTCATTTGTAGGGAATACTGGAACCATGCAATATTTAATATTTTGAGTTACTCAAATTTTTTCCGCTATGTATTACTGAGTGGTTGTATTTCATATATATAAATAGACCAACATAGGAGTGACCTAGGCTTTTCTCTATGATCCTAGGCTTTGAAATAATCTTTTGTATTGAGCTGCTTACTATTACTTTTGATTTGTCCAACATGAGGGTCTTTATTATAGTTATTATGGTTAATGGAACATGGTGCAGTTGCCTAATTTAGGTTTGTTTATTTGGATGATCATATCAGATGGATTTTATGGCCACCGCGTTCATCCTTCCTTGATTGCTGCTTAAGCACATGGAACCATTTAGTTAAGTTTATGATTGTTATATTATTATTATCACGATATTATTAGGTTTCTGATAGGAACACCTGGCTTTAAACATAAAACCTAATAGAGATTTTACCAAGGTTTTACACTAGAAGAAATAAGAGGATGGCAAAAAAAGTAAATTGGTAAATCAAAGAAGACTACAAGGGAATCAGTAAAGAGAAGGTGGTAGAGACCAGAGGAGAGCAGAAGGAATAAAGCATGAGTCAGGAGAGAAGCAAAAGGCATTCTGGCAGTTGGTTAGAATAGGAAAGAGAGGCCCTCTCAAATGGTCTCACCTTTTTTATTGTATTTCCTTGTTCTGCCAGTTTTTCCTTCTTCTTCCATGGTTGATTCACCCGACTTTTACCATCTCTTTACTGATTCCTTTACTCAATATAATGTTTCTATTTTGCTGGGGTGTGTGCGTTCTATCATTGGTATCAGAGAGAAAAACAGCCCCTGAGACTGGATGACCATCACAAGTTCCCAGATGAAGAACCGGATGGAAAATTGGAACGCGCAGTAGTAGAACTCAGTAACAGGATGGATGGGAGGATGAACAATATGAAGGCAGCAACATAATCACGGTCGACCCAGAGGACGTTCCAGAAATTCCCGGCGACAGACTCCAAATGAAAATCACAGCACCTCTTGCACTTGCGATGAGTCGCGATCATCTCAAGTATCTTCCGCTACCCATGAAACTTCGAAGATCAGAGTTCACAATCGAACCGGGAGAAAGATAGATCTTCCGATGTTCAATGGGAACGATGCTTATGGCTGGCTAGTACGAGTGGAAAGATTTCTTAGATTGAATGACATACGTGATGAGGATAAGGCCCTCAACCGGTTCTAATGGTGGGAGGGCCAAACTTATAATAGGAACTAGGAAACTTTTAATGAAGCACTTATCAGAAGATTTCAACCAGACTTGGTGCAAAATCCTTACGGACCCATGAGAAGACAGATACTGAGATGCTGAAAGGGGTCTTCATGATTGGATTGAGGGAGTGTTAGGAGGTGATTCTTCCCGCTCAGGTCTCGTTTATACCCACCAATGATGACAATTTCACCACTAAGGTCTCAATTGAAGGAGTAGTGTGGCAACAGCCACCAAGCCTATTCTGCCAATACGTTTGAACGCCCCACAGAAAGGAGCAGCTAGGGTTTCGGCCAACCTCCAACGCATACGGGAAGGGAGAAATAAATAGGCTAAGCTCAGAAGGTCATACATGGTAACATGTCAAGAAGGAAAGAAATCATCTGTATTGCACCAGCAAAAGGAAGGAAAGGAATCGCGCGGAGACGGTGTGAACAAGAATAAAGGAATGGGTCGGGTACTCTTCCAAATGGACTGGGCCAATACCTAACACATTCTCCACCTTATTGGACCCTAGTGGTGTAGAGTCAGAACTCTGATCCATACGTAAGACTCATCATCGCTGGATTGCCTGAATGATCACGCGGACACATTACAGGTAAAAGGGGTAAGATCACCGGACAACTTATCCGCAATTAATGTTTAACGTGCATTTGCACGACAGCAGTTTTTCTACATAGGGATATTTAGTATCCATGTCTGCAGGATTAAACTCAGATGGAATTTTAGTCAACTTGATATGATCTGCACTAACAATATCACATATCAAATGAAATCTAACATCAATATGCTTAGTTCTATCATGAAAAACGGGGTTTTTGCACAGTTGAGCAGATTGACTATTACAAAACACACGTGTCCTGTTTAAGATTACCAATCTCTGTTAGAAGATGCTTAAGCCAAATGGTTTTCTTAAATGCTTCGGTAGCGGTCACATACTTAATCTTAGTAGTGGATAGGGCAACTATGAGCTGAAATTGAGACTTCCAACTAATGCACGACCCACAGAGTAAACACATAAGTAGTGGATTTCTTATTCGCTCTATCATTAGCAAAATTAGAGTCCACATATCCATTCAACTTAATACCCTCAAAACACCTAGTGAAAACCAATCCATGATTAAAACAGTAGAATTCAAGTACCTAAGCAACCACTTAAGAGCATTCCAATGATCTAAACCAGGGTTAGACATATACTTACCCAAGCAACTAACAACATAGGCAACGTCGAGTCTAGTACTCACCATGAGATACATCACAGACCCAATAACATTGGAAAAAGGCACATATTTCATTTTAGCAATAAAAATACAGACACAGAAGAAGTATTTTTGAAGTAAAAGCAATGATCGCATTCAGACTTATGGAATTTCAAAGATGGCATGTGTTGGTCAAATTTGATATTCCACTGCCTACAGGACTGCTTCAGGCCGTACAAAGCCTTCCTAAGCAAACACACATGATCACTCTTCATGGGATCCACAAAGCCATCAAGCTGGGACATATAGATTTTCTTGTCTAAATCACCATGCAAGAAAGCAGTGGTGACTTCCATTTGCTTCATTTCCCAATCATTATTAGCAACAAGAGCAAGCATCATTCTAATCGTAGTAAATTTAACAACAGGAGCAAAGATTTCAGCCTAATCAACACCTTCCTTGAGTAAATCTCTTAGCTACTAGCTTAGCCTTATATCTAATGTTGTTAAGCTCTTCCTTAACCTTAAATAGTCATTTTCACGCAACAACGGAACTATTGGGTGGTCTAGGAACTAACGTCCAAGTCTTATTCGCTCGCAGGGACTCCATCTCACTTTCCATGCCGCAAAGCCATTTAGCGGATTCATTAGACTTAAGGGCCTCTTTATAGGTTCTAGGTTCGTTAAGCTCAAGGGCTTCAAACACAGAGAATGCAAACATAGAAGTATCACACACATGGAAAGTAAAATCAAGGATACTATTTGCAGTTCTCCTAGTTACTCTCCTACTTCTTTGGTAATCATGCAAATCAGTTTCACTAGAATCAGCATTCTCATCATGCGATTCATTTTTATTTGAATGCACATAAGAATGCTCCACCACACTCGAAGTGGTGGTAGTATCATGCTCAGAAGAATCAGAATCATGCAATTTGGAAGAATCAGAATCATGCAAGTCAACATTATCATGATTAACAAACAAAGGACTAGCAGCATATGGTATGGACTCCACCTCAACAAGTGTACTACTATGGCTAAACTCAGAATCAGGAGCTGACTTAACCAGACAATGAAACTCGGATTCATTGAAAACCACGTTTCTACTTACCACAACTTTGAAACCTACTTGGTTTCTATCCCAAACCTTGTACCCCTTCACACCCTCAGGATAACCTAAGAAAACTCCTTTCTTAGACCTAGGATCCAATTTGTCACCTTGTTGGTGTACATACATTGCACACCCGAACACTCTAAGATTAGATAAATCAAGGGGTTTGTTTGAAAAAACAGATTTAGGGCACTTTCCACGCAAGGGAACAGAAAGAGACCGATTAATCAAATAGGCAGCAGTATTTACTGCTTCGCCCCAAAACTTTTTTGACAAACCGGCAGTAGCAAACATACTCCTAACCTTATCTAGAACAGTCCTATTCATTCTCTCAGCTGTCTCATTTTGTTGAGGAGTATAGGGCACAGTTTTGTGCCTTCTAATCCCACAATCAACACAAAGTTGATCCATATCCTTGTTGCAAAATTCTAGACCATTATCTGCCTCAAGAGTTTTGACCTTTTTACCTGTTTAATTTTTTACAAGGCTTTTCCATTCTCTAAATTTCACAAAGACATTGGACTTATGCTCAAGGAGACCTTCCTAGAAAAATTATCAATAATGGACAGAAAATATCTCTTACTCTCGTGGGTAGAGACGCTAGCAGGACCCCACACATAAGCATGAACATACTCTAACACAGAGGTACACTTAGTGGGATCAGGGTAACGAGAGGAGAGAAATGTAACCTTATGCTGCTTGTCTAACACACAATATTCAGAGAAAGGGATAGAGGACATAGAATCCTTACCAAAACAACACGATTTATTCAAAACTCTAATCACTTATTACTCATGTGTCCTAATCTACTATGACACAAAGCAGTTTTATCGGAACTAACGTGAGAAGAATCACAGAAAGGCTGAGCATGACACACATGCAAGTTATACATTATTTTAGATTAAAAAAACAAGGGAATTTTTCAAAACTTTCATGCACCCATTTCCCCATTTACCCTCAAACCCACTACCCTCAAAAGCAGTGACAGAAAACAAGTTATGACACAAATCAGGAACATGATTTTAAACATATAAAACACAATACCATTATCAAACTTCAAGCATATATCACCCACCCCGTGTATTTTGCATTTTTTATTATCAGGAAGAGACACAAAATCATCATTGCAAGGATCATGAGAAGAAAGCACGGATCTAAAAGGTATCATACGATAAGTACAACCAGAGTCAATCAACCACTCATTTTCAGTCATGCTACTCAACACAGAATTGGCAAAATCACAAAAAATAAACACTTCTTCATGCAAGTTATCATCATTTACCACATTAGCATGTTCAAACTTCTTGGGGTTGCGACAATTTTTAATAAAGTAGCTAGAATTACCACAATTATAACACACTCTCTTCTTAGACTTACCTCTCTTCTTACCCGGGTCACTATTATTGTTTTTTGTTCTTATCATTGTTGTCTTTCTTATGGTTTCTAGATCTACTCTTAGATCTACCCCTCACAAACAACGTTTCACCTGTGTCCCTAAACTAACTGTTACTACCCCTCGAGTGCCTAAGGACCAACTCCTTACTTCTTAATCCATTAGCGACTATATTTAACAAGATATCATATCTACCATATTTTATGGCAGATTTGACGTCATTGTAAGAGTCAGGGGTGGCATTAAGTAACATTATGGTTGTGTACTCATCTATGTGTTTATCACCGGCTTGCTCAATGCTCTTAATAAGCTTGTTAAACACATCTAAGTTCTCATCTATGTCTTTAGTCAGGTCAAGCCTAAATCTAAAGAACTTCTCAAGCAAAAACAATTTACCAGACAAAGAAGTATCGATATACAACTTGTCTAATTTGTCCTACAATTCCTTTGCGGAATCTATAATACCCACCTTCCTCGGCACTGAATCAGAAAGGTTTAAGTATATAGAGGAACAAGCAGTTTCATTCATTTCAATGCTTGAGCATCTTCAGAGTCTAAATAGAGACCAGTCATAGCTTTATAGACTTTCTGTTGAATCAACACGCATTTTATTTTCTGTTTCCAGATGTAAAGTATGTCTTTCCGTTAACTGGAAGTATGCAATATTGATTGACAGCCATCTTAACAGGAAAGCAAGCAAAACACGCAAGAGAGTAAATAAAATCTATCAGGCTACGAATAGTACGAAGCAACTAACACGAACAAGCCGAGAAGACCAATGAACACAAAGCTCGGGGACAATCTCCTTGTTCTTTCGTACAAGCACAGATAAATTACTATTTACTCAACAAACAGACAAGAGATTTAATTATAACCTATAGGGCTATGAATTGTACGAAGCAACTAGCACGAACAAACCAAGAAGACCAATGAGCACAAAACTCGGGTACAATCTTCTTGTTCTTTCGTACAAGCACAAATAGGCTAAAATTAAACCAACAATTAATGAAACGGAATTAAATTTAATCCAGACATAAATATTCACAAACTTCAGAAAATAAGTATCCGAACAAAATATTCTTAATCGGAAAGTTTATCCACGAATCAACACACAGAAAATCAAAATTCAACACGGAATTAAATCTTAACCGGACAGAAATATTCACAATTTCAGACAACAAGTGTCCAAACAAAATATTCTTTACCGGAAAATTAATCCACGATTCAACAAACAAGTAATCACAATTCAACTCGAAATTAAAATGAATGAACTACAAATAATCACACAAAGGATTAAGATTAAGCAAACGTACCTGGGGCCGGGCACAGCCGGCGTCCTAGACCGTGTAGGTCAGCAGTGGGGGTGAGGGGGGAATTAATCCGGTGGCACTCCGGTACTCCAAGTAAGGTTTATAGCCAATTTACCTGAGCGGGGCCCGAGGTTGGGTTACCCGACTTACCGTAGGCAGCGTGGGCTGCTGTAGAGCATGGTGGCAGTGGCTGGATTGCATGGCTGCACCTCCCTGGCGGAGGCAGCAGATTGGACTGGCGGCAGACTGGCAGCAGAGGTCTGGACAGCACCTTGAGCTCCAGCAGAATGTCTGGCCGGCTAGTTCTGGTCGCCGGAACTCCTGGACGGCGGCGGCAGCTCTGCAGGGACCTCCGGCAACGGTGTGCGGAGGCGATGCGATGGCAGGCTGCGGCAGACGGCAATCTCACTGATACCACTGTTAGGAGGTGATTCTTCCAGCTCAGGTCTCGTTTATACCCACCAAGGATAACAATTTCACCACTAAGGTCTCAATCGAAGTAGTAGTGTGGCAACAACCACCAAGCCTATTCTGCCAATACGTTTGAACGCCCCACAGAAAGGAGCAGCTAGGGTTTCGGCCAACCTCCAACGTAGACGGGAAGGGAGAAATAAATAGGCTAAGCTCAGAAGGCCATACATGGTAACATGTCCAGAAGGAAAGAAATCATTTGTATCGCACCAGCAGAAGGAAGGAAAGGAATCGCGCAGAGACGGTGCAAACAAGAATAAAGGAATGGGTCGGGTACTCTTCCAAATGATATTGGGCTTAAGAATGGACTAGGCCAATACCTAACAGGGAGGAAATGAGAGCTGAGCTGAAATTGTATCCTGTGAGATCCTTACCGGAGATGATTGACCGTGCACTGTTACTTGAAGACAAAAATGCTGCAGTAAGGACAACAATACATAGAGAAGAGGATAAGAGAGGTTGGTAGGAGAAAGGAGGAACTATGACTAAATCCTTGCAGTGGGGGGAAAGCACTAGAGAGAGAACCTATTCTAATAACCCAACTGCTGCCAAGGTTGTGACAGACTACAAAGCAGGAGAACAACCAGGGTTCAATAACTCCTGGAGAAATGGACAGAGGCTGACACAAACTGTGGGGATAAGTGGAATAAAGAACATGTGCGTGGAGTGAAACACTATCAATTAACCCTCATGGAAACTGAAGAAGATTCAGAGGAGGAAAATCAGTTGACTCATAGAGAAGAAATAGGGCCAGTAGGAGAATACAAACTCTGCAACTGTCCAGTTTGAGCAAGAAGGGGTTAACTACACAAATGACATTCAAGGTGAAGGGGGAATTGAGGAGCCAAGACTATTATACAGTCATTAATCATTAAGTCACTAATTAAAATGAGTGTAGGTCAAGGAGATCTGAATTGAGTAATAACACAGTCAAGGTTTGCAGTTGCATGACTTATACTCAAAACATATTTATAGTAGTGGTAGCAATGTATTTTTTTAGTTTGCATATATTTTGTTTGGTATAACAAATCGCAGCACATGGATGGAGGTGAGGTAGGAGAGTCTAGACTGATAGCGAGAAAGGGTCTTTCTTTAAGATTAAGAGCAGTAAGTCTAGAAGCATACACAAAATACTAAAAGTGTATGTTCAGCAGGATAATGATCACAATGCATTTGATTTGAAGTTTCCTTTTATTCATTTTTATCACGATACTATCACACTACTTCTTTTCCATTCATTTGATCAAAATGCATTGATTCGATGTTTCCTTTTATTCATTTTTATAATTGTTATTGTTTATTCCCAATCTCAATTTCAAAATTGTACACATATACTTAAATTGGGAGATAAAAAAGGATGAGGTACACACTTCTAGAAATATAAAGCACAACAAGAAATGTGTTCTTGATGAGACAAAAGTGTAAAATAATGTAAGCCTGCCATTAATTATAAATTAGAATATAAAATATTTAATTGATTGGTGTGACTTTAATTCCGTATAAAAACAAGTAAAAAATGACTAGTAAATTAATAGGCCTATTTTATTTGAGTATGTCAATAGGTGTTTATTAATTTGTAATGTTAAGCAAATTTTCTTCTTTTTAGAGCAATTATATGTGTGTTAATCAAAGAAGTGTTTTCAAAATTACTAGATCACGAGGGCGTGATGTGCAACGCCGATGGAAATCTGAAAAACAAATGAAAACATTGTCGTCTACAAGTACATCTTCAATAATTTATTATGGGTTTTCTTATTAAACCTCTAATATTTGAGATAAAAATAATATGATTTATTATACTAACCTGTCAGTTTAGGACGAGGACGAGGTGCTAGGGGTGCCGGGGTCTCCATTGCTGTGGTAGATTTTAAAAATAACATAAAAGCAATGGTAAATAAATATTATAAAAGTTACTTATGCTGCCAAAAACAAATGTACTAACTAACAGTATCATTATATTTCTAAAAACATGCAAAGAAAAATAAATAAATAAAAACCATGGTGATTGGTGATTAGAGAATAACACAAACACAAATGCTTAAATTAATGGCAAGTTTGGAAACTATAGCACTAAAAATAAATTACCTGAGTATCGCAGCCTCCTAGGAACGAATCTAGACAGAACCCGGTAAACAATACCTTCAAAATAAATTGAATAGGATTTATCATTACCATATAGTACATAATAGCATTCAATTACACTAAAAAATAACGTAGTATATTATGAACATATTCTATTTTGCAATTGAATAGGTTATATTCCAGTTCAATCTTTTATCTTATCTAAACTGTTAGATGGATCACGGGACTCGACCATGGTTACATTGGTTATCATCTTGCTAAATCATACCTCGGCGAGCAGCATCCATTTGAGGTGAACCATTTGAACTTTGGATGTTAATAGCTACCTGATCTTCTTCAGGCTCTTCATTTATTTCCGGGGAGGGTGGTTTACTTTCCTCTGGCCCAGACCGAGGCTCAAAGAAGGGCTCAGTGAGAGGGGACTCCAGCTCATCCTCCTTCTTCAGGAATGGTTCATCAGACGGCTCAGAGGGGGACGCCTTCAGCTCATTGACATTGACAGCGGACGCCTTCTGCCCGTCCTCCAGCAGCGGCTTCAGTTCCTCAGACAAGGGCTCGGCCTCCAGCAGCGGCTTCAGTTCCTCAGACAAGGGCTCGGAGGAGGAAGCCATTTACCGAAAGCTCTCAGAAATTCAGACGCAATGCTCCGTGTAAGAGTAGCAACTCAGACCCTGAAGTAACTTCAAACTAATAGCAATAGTTAATGATAACTGAAATTAAATACAGTAGTAATTAGTAATAAGCGTATTAGTTAGTAATAAACTGAAATATCTCAACATAATCTCTGTATCTACCGAGATGTTTAGGCACCGGCTGTGAGTATCTATGGGGCGACGATATAAATCAGGGCCGTAATCCGTATTGTGAGAGATGGTTCAATCGTTGCACGCTAATTAGGTTTGGCTCCATTAGGTTTTGGACAAGTTCTGGATTTCTAACTTTGGGCCTTTACTAACTTTTAATATCATAGTCTCATATCATTATGTCAATACCCAATTTAATCCTGTACTACGGAGTATTTAATAATCTCGACTTTCAATTTTCTTTTTCAAAATTTAGTCCTTTATTGTTTTATTCTACGAAAAATAACAAAAATAGTACCACTATGAGGTGAAATCGGTTGGATTGGCTGATTCTGCTGAAATTTATGAAATTACTATATCAGCTGCTTTTACTGATTTATGAAAAAAAAATTATATTTAAAATATATTTTATTAATAAATTAAAGAAAAACTTATAAGAATAAATAGCTAAAATGGTCATCTACCGTAACTTTAGCCAATACAGCCAGAAAAGCAACTACAACCTTACTTTTTACTATTATTACACAATTCATGATAAGATAAAGAGTATAAATAGACTGTCTGCCTACACGATAGAGTTCTACTCTAACTAAAACTGTAACTTCTAATACTTCTATTACTAATAGGAAACGATAAATAAATATAAATAAATAAATAAATAAAATATAAAGATAACATCGAACTGGACTCCTAAATAATTAAAAGCCTAAAAAGGCATCTGTAACATCACTCCCTCCCTCGACACTGAGCTTGTCCCCAAGCTCATATCTTGGATAAGCACTGACTAAAGACTCAACGGCTCCCATGTAGTGTGGCCTTATCTGGTATGGGCCATTGAACTTACTAGTTTCTATACGCGCGTTGCGCGATAAGATAAATGCCTAATGTAACATTTTCTGCACCATTTGCCCAAAGTGTTTACTTGTAATGGAAATACGTAAGTCTAACAATATAGTTTTAAAATATGGGGAGAAGGAAAATGGAATTGAAGTGAGTATTATTTGAGAAATGAGTACATCCAAAGTGCAGTAACATAAAAAATGTCATATTCTCTTTTTGCTAACGGAATATTAAAAATGATAAAGTCGTGATCACCAGGTCATCTGAAACTCAAGAACTTCACAACTCATGTGGAGTAACATACGAGAGTTAAATTACCTCCCAATGATGGTATACTTCAATTCACACCGCATTTCATGGTTTCTTTGGAACTGGAGGCCTGGACAAGGAGATTCACATAACTCCTGGAAAATTTTTGTGAAGATAAAAGTAATTATTATTGTCACTGAATTAGAAAACATATTAGAAGATAAGTACTTTAGGCTTATTGTATATATGCTTTGAGATTTTACTCAAGTCTAGTTAAGGCAGACACTTGTTATGTGTCTAGGGATTGTGTGATTGTGTTTGTCAACATGAGTAAAAATACAAACTTTTTATGATCTAAGAAACTGTGGAAGGTGAAATATTATTCTCTCTCATTGACCTCCAATCAATATATAGGCTAAAAAAACATACATGGCCAAAATGAAAATGAAGCCATAAACACAGATTAGCCACCCTCTAAAATAAAAGATTATATCTAAAAAATCACTTCCATCCCAAAAAGTCCTTTCAAGTTTCCCTTTTTCCCCTTCAGGTTTCTACTCTGTTCTCCCTCATGTTTTCTTCCCTTACCATTTCCCGACTCGAAACAGACCCTAGACAGGCTGATGGAGAAAATGTTTTAGTAAGATCTTGTGGTGGCCAATAAGAGGAAACAATGCATACACTTTCACCGGAGGGCGAGAAATAATAACCAAGACCTGTAAATCCTCAGATTCACTCGTGTTCTAAACCTGAAATGGGATAGAAAATGCTAACACTTTAAACACCAGAAATGACATAAAATGGAATATAAATAAAATGTGTATCAAAAATATCTTTTAAAAAGTTAATCAATTTTAGCTTATAAACTCTTTTCTCCCACATTTTCTTCCCTACCGACTGACTTCTCTTACTAATTTCTTCCCATAGTATTTTCTGGGAAGAAACTCAAAATTCCAAGCTCTGACAGTAAAACTTTGCTAGATTATGTATCACAAGGTAAAGCAATGTGCTCAAATTTGCATTGGACATGATCATATGTTACTTCAATTCTTTCGAATGTCTATATGAAGAGGACATGTCGAATGCTTTCCAATAAATCCAATAAACACAACATTTAAGTCTGCTCCAATACAAAAAAAGATGTCAAGTACAAATGGGGGAAAATACACCTACCACATGAAGAAAATATTTATTTTAAACAATACTACCTCCGTCCCAATTTACTTAGCCAAACTTGACTTTTCAAGTCAACGGCGTCTAACTTTGACCAATTATTTTAACTAATATATTTATGCAAAATTTAATAATTTTATACTTTTATGATAGTATTTTTAACAAAGAACATTTTCATATCATTTTCATATTATCAATACTTTCTCTATATACACATATAATTGGTCAAAGTTAGACGACGTTGATTTGAAAAGTCAAGTTTAGCTAAGTAAATTGGGACGAAGGGAGTATGTAAGTTATAGGTCTACACTCTGGTTTTTAACATTTGGCCATGTCGTTTTACACGGTTTAATATAAGCTTCTAAGTCAAAGCATTACTACACCATTTAGAAAACAAATGTAGAAAAGTAAGTGTATACCCGATTCAGTATGCACAAAACTCTGCACCATAGAGTCAAATAAAGTTCTTTTTTAGTTCAATGTGCAGATTCTCTAACAAAAACATAAAAAGATTTTCCCACTTCTTTTATCGCATATTCTGGTCACTTATTTTTTCTAGTCAAATAGCTAGAAAAAGTGATAATAAAAATATATGTAAGTTTGTAGATTATAATATTTCAAACACAAAAATCATAATATTGGGCATAAGCTCTTGATATATTTTAAAATAGACGTTGGGTCAAGGAATGTTTTTATCGTCTGGTGATGGCATTATATTTGTAGAAGCAATGGATATGCGGTTTGCCTCCACCGTTTGGCTCCGGTTGAGTAAATGTGATATTCAAATACAGGTTCTCTTCCATGCACCGCAAGAATCCTGTGTTCTTTCGCTAAAGGATGGAAGAAGATCCCGCATGCTCGGGTAGCAGACACATTGGGGGTTCCTACTATTTGGACTCTATCTCTTGATAGAGGATTAAACACAGCATACTTGGTATATGCTTCCAGGTAGTTCCTAGTCGAAATCAACGCTAATCCGCCGCAAGCGTTTACAAGGTAAGCTCCTTTCAGTGAGTTCAGGCCCCTGGTCTTGCACTCCTTTTCAGAGGTTCCATTGACAATATAAAGTCTCAAGTCATCTTCGCCTCCGCTCTTACAATAACGAATAATTATAGGCTTGCTGCTCTGCTGCTCATCAACATGAGATGATGATGACGACGAAGAATTTAACATTCTGGGAACTTTCTTCATCAATTTTTCATGATTATTAATAGCCAGTGGTGAAGATCCGGCTGTCAATGAGTCCTCCACTGTAGCACTATTAGTCAAATCATTACCAAAAACTTCCTCAAAATGAGATGTTGGTGATGAAATTAACATTTTGGGAACTTTCTTCATCAATTTCTCATGAATAATAGTCAGTGGTGTACTTCTGGTTGTTAATGCGTCCTTGATGAAAACGGTTAGCAACACAAGAGGGGTGAATTGTGTTTCTGTGGAACCGTGGCAGTTTTTCGCCCGGTTCTAGTGTGAAGTAAAGGAAATTGCAAAAAGTAAAGTGCACAAGGATTTAACGAGGAAAAATCCCTTGGCTCAAAGGGATTAAAAAACCTCGACCTCCTTCGGGGGAATTTTAAACAACTTCACTAAAACAAGCCTTGAAAGAGTTACAAGAGAGATCCTCCTAATCTACCCTTGAGCCTCCCCAACTCTATCCTCTCTAGGAAGAGTTATGCATCTCTACCTTTTGGGTAGAGTGCCTCTCGGCTTTATCACAAAGCTTCTCACACACACTTGACCCAACCCGAGGCAGCTACACTTAGCTAAGCCTCAATAACCCAAGTACAATATGATAAAGAAAGGAAACTCTATCTAGAACTCCGCTTGAGCAGTTTCAGGCACTATGGACTTGATCTTTTCTTGAGTGAATCTTCTTGGTAATTTTCTCTGTTCGGCCCTACCCTTCGTATCACCTTTAGTCCGGAATATTTAGCTCCTTGTGAGACAACCGTTGGGTCCTCTTTCCTTAGTTGGTTGCTTGATTTTTAATGCACTTCCCTTGTATAGACTGACTGTTATTTCATAACAAAGAAGCGCAGATAGTTTAGTGAGTCATTGTGCTTTGTTTCATCATATTTTCAAGCTAAAAAATAGTGAGTCTTTGGCTCCATTAAAAATGATTGAAAACGTAAAAATAAATTATTAAAATAAAAACTCAATACTCCCCTTCCCTCACCTAGTCACCTCCATAATCCCCAACCATATTGGTCCTTAATATTTCAATGTCTCAAATGTTTGAGCATAAAAAAATATACGTGGTAATTTGATAAGTTTGAAGTATCTATTCAATATTTTACCAATTCAATCTCTAACTTTAGTGTATAAAGTAACTTTTCATATGGGCATGTAGTATTCCATCTCTAACTTTAGTGCATAAAGTAACTTTTCATATGGGCATCTATTACTACGTAGTCCTTTCCTTTCAAATGAGGTATTGCATGTTTAAGTTTTAATTATTTAATCCATTTCAATATATTAACGTTGAACAGGGGCGGCCCTGGATATTCGAAAGCCTAGGGGCGAACAATAAAAAAAGGGCCTAATTTTAAAAAAAAATTGTAAAACACTTTTCTACCTAAATAAAAATGCAAAATAATAATATTTAAATACCTTTAGAATAAAGAAAATACTTGAATTCGTTAAATTAAACATAGTCGAATAATGTTTTCAAAATAACCGAATAAAAAATTATTTAATGATAAATAACGCCCCGATACAATACACTTGCTAAGGCCGGTGTCATCAACTATAGCGTCATAATCAAGCTTTTCTAAGACATTATTATGCTCAATACTTAATATAGCTAATCAATTAGTTAAATTTATAAATTTAACTAATTGGACTGCACGTTAGTTCTTCCTTTTTTTCAATTTTGGGCCTTTTGCGTTCTTGGGCTTCCTGAACTTGTATAAAATTATTAATTTTGGGTTAAAACTCAGCCTACTCAAATATACTATCAAGAAATAATTCTGGGCCTAAAAAATTTTCATTTTTTTGGGCCTAGGGCACCCGCCCCACCTGCCCCCCCCCCCGGGCCGCCCCTGACGTTGAAGCTGCCAAAACAAGTGTACATTACAAATAAAACAAAAGAACAAATAAAAAAAATAAAAAAAACATACCCAGTAATGTTTAAGTTACACACAAAACTAGTACGGAGTATGTATATACTACAAGCTAAATCCTTGACTCAATGGTAGATGTTGAGATGAGAAGAGTTCAAATCCGACTTGCTTAATACCCCTTTTTCATATACTCTGTAATCAAATATGTCAATTTTTTAATCCCACTATATATAAATCCCAATATAAATGAATCCCAATATATATAAATCCCATTCACATAAATGAAATACGTAATAGTTTGGTATTAAAACAAGGGAACAGAGACAAAAAATCTAAAAATGTACATAAAAAGTATTGGTGTGCATATATAACTAACATAAAAATATAAAAGGTGACTCCATGCTTCACTGACAAATACCATCATCATATGCGATCACTTATGGTTGGAGTATAAGCAACAAACCCGAGAAAACAATCGTAATCACTCTGGTGCATGTAAGGACTGTCGTGCATATTTAACCTTTTGCAAATTTGCCTTATAGTGTGCGTCTTTAGGGAATAGATGAAGAGACCTCGATATCTCCAAAACAATACCAATTCATTCTCATGGATGCTGATTATTCTTATATACGAAAATGTACGACTTACGGTAGCCCGACTTTGGGTGAAAGGAAGCACATTCACATCCCAACTAAGAGAAGCAATATATTTCTTAGTCCAAGATGACCAATTCCCATAGTCTTCCAAAACCCATATATCTATTGACATGCGTTCATACTCCACAAGGCAGAAGCACAAGCGCTCTTCTTTCACCAACAGAAAGGTCATGTAATAATCCTTTTGTGCCATGTACTCCTCAAAGGGGAGGCGTCTGAGTGATAACTCTTCACTAACCATATCAAAAATCATCACACCCCCAATATGCCAATGAAGAGCTTGATTAACAATTGCTGGGTTACCATTGACAACCCTATACGGTTTTTTCCCATCAGCCCAAAAGCATTCAGGCTCGTAAGGAAAATAAGGATGTGCGGTTTGCCTCCACCGTTTGGCTCCGGTTGAGTAAATGTGATATTCAAATACAGGTTCTCTTCCATGCACCGCAAGAATCCTGTGTTCTTTCGCTAAAGGATGGAAGAAGATCCCGCATGCTCGGGTAGCAGACACATTGGGGGTTCCTACTATTTGGACTCTATCTCTTGATAGAGGATTAAACACAGCATACTTGGTATATGCTTCCAGGTAGTTCCTAGTCGAAATCAACGCTAATCCGCCGCAAGCGTTTACAAGGTAAGCTCCTTTCAGTGAGTTCAGGCCCCTGGTCTTGCACTCCTTTTCAGAGGTTCCATTGACAATATAAAGTCTCAAGTCATCTTCGCCTCCGCTCTTACAATAACGAATAATTATAGGCTTGCTGCTCTGCTGCTCATCAACATGAGATGATGATGACGAAGAATTTAACATTCTGGGAACTTTCTTCATCAATTTTTCATGATTATTAATAGCCAGTGGTGAAGATCCGGCTGTCAATGAGTCCTCCACTGTAGCACTATTAGTCAAATCATTACCAAAAACTTCCTCAAAATGAGATGTTGGTGATGAAATTAACATTTTGGGAACTTTCTTCATCAATTTCTCATGAATAATAGCCAGTGGTGTACTTCTGGTTGTTAATGCGTCCTCCACTGCTTCACTGTTATTCAAATCATCACCAAAAACTTCCTCAAACAGATCTATGATCCATGAAAGACACCGAAAGGCCATAGCTCCTGACCGATGCTAAGCTACAAAAACAATAAGAACAATCGATACTTAACTTATTGGAGGCTTGAATTATGTACAGAATTGAACAATATTTTAAATGCTTCCTACATGCTGATCATACACTAGTTTAGAGAAGATCCTGGGGAATAGACTTATTTTTGTATAATAAAAAATCATGCAGGCGGAAGTTAAAAATACATTCCATTCTGTGATACTACGTATGACTTAAGAGGCTTCTCTAACGACGAGCCGATTAATCTCTCAAAAAGAAAAACAACGAACCGATTGAATTATATTGGCTAAACAAATTCTATTGGAAATACAAAACAACAGGAAAATATACGAAGTACAAGAGAATGAGGGATTAAAGGAAGTTAAAGATTCTAAAGTATTTCGGGAACCGATGGATCGGAGACCATATGAAATCCAATTAATTAAATACTTCGAAAATCACTTTGCTAAACATAATCTCCCATTAATTTCCAAGGAAACAAGGAGAATTTAACTTACCTTGGGGAAGGCAGGGATCAGAAGAGAAGAGCAGCGGCTGTTATTACACTACAACTACGTACGTATAAGAAACGAGTATTTAAATAGGTAAAACCATTCTGCCCTAAATACAATTACACTAGGAGTATTAGGTAAGTTTGACAATTTTTTTTTTATAGAATAATAATTATTTTTATTTAAGAACTAAAAGTAATATACTTTTACGGTGTTTTTTTGGACAACTTTCAATCCTAGATCAGAGATAGATCACACTAGATCAAAATATACCGGATTAGACAAGACCATATTTATTATTGTTGTTGTTATTACTACTATTATTATTACTACTACTACTATTATTATTATTCCTATTATTATTGTTGTTGTTGTTATTATTATTGTTAATGTTATTGTTATTATTGATGAAACTTCATGTCAAGTCAGCCTAGCCGTGGCTGCCTTCCTGTCGAGCACATTTGAGGTCCTTCCCAATGAAATTTTCCGATGTTTTTTTTAGCAAAAGTAGTTTCTTTAGATGACCATTTTAGCTATTATTCATATACTTTTCTTTTTATTTTATTAATAAAATATATTTTAGATACTACCTAGCGGTTAGCAGTTAGCGGATGATATTAGCGGGTTGTGAATAGCGGATTATGTTAGCGGATTTGACCGGCGGATTAATTTGGCGGATTGTAAAAAAGTGTTTGGTAATTTGGGTGTTTACTTTTAGCGGTTAATAGATAAAAGGACAAAAAAGGACATTAATACATTTTAGTGTATGTCTCATTGTTGTTTAATATTCTCGTATGATGTTATAATTAAAACTACAACTATATAATTTTAAAAACTAACGGAATAAAAATAGTGTAATGAAGTAAAAAAATAATACTCCGTGTAATCAATGGATTAGTGGACGACTTGGCCGCATGTTTTTTCATATCAAAGCTCTGCACATATTTTACATCATCACATATAACACATTAATACCTATCCAATCATTCATACAATATAAAAATATATACATGTACAACGAAGTGATATACTACTTATTTGAAATTGGGGCACAAATTAAG